GATTCCAAAATATCTTTTGACTATCTCATATAAGGGATGGACTTATTTGATCTAAAATACTTCTAAATTTAAATAAAGGATTATATAGCGGAAAATCATTTTTTTCAATATTTTACTTTACAGATTGGTTGGGGCTACAACTCCCAACTTCAAGGGAATGCTAGGAGTTTTTGCCTTAGCATATCTAGAAATTTGATTTGATCTGAATTGGAGCATTTAGTTATTAAGTAAAGTACTGGTATTAATAGCGTGACTCATGTAAATATGGAATATAACATGCAAATGTTATCTTGGTATTAACAGATAAAGCTGAGTTAGCCAAAACATTGCAATATTCTGACTTCATTGACTAATTTGTAACCCTTTCTAGATACATTATTAATTGATCTAAATTTAAATCAAGGCATTGGGATCTATTACATTGTTAAAACAAATTCTTGATAGTTTCAAAGGTGCTTGAAGGCAATAATGTACCCTGGACACCTAATAGTTATATATCTCAAATAATGAAATTGAACTAAAATATTTGGATAAAATTAATACTATAAAATCAAAGTTTGCCACTGGAAAATTTAACATCCACGATTTACATATTTCTGAAATATATTTTCCTAATATCAGCGTGCTGTTTTACAGATATATTTAGAGAAATCTTCACCATTAGTTTTCACATAGGATGTTTCAATTGTCACAGAAAGCTTTGCAGATTTAAATTTGTTCTATAAACTGCATTTTGTTTCTCAGTTTAATCAGTGGTCAATTTTGCTCACCAGAAACTTGTTTTCACAAACCATTTTTGAACTGGCGTAGTACTTTGTAGTTCTACATTAGGGTTCTATCCTAATATATTTTCCTTCCTATATGTTAAAAATATTGTGTGGTTGTTCATCTTTGTTGAATTATATACCAATAGTTTAGAAAATAATAGAAAGAGAGTAGAAGTTGATATTTCATTTTTATTATCACAAAAATATGTATTCTATAAAACTGGAAGGACATCCAGTTTTATCATCAGATAGAAAAAGGACAGCTCACCCTTTTATATTTGAATAAGCAGTATTGTCAGGGTTCTAAGAACACCCCCAATTTTTTGTTCTTTAAATAGAACCAGGGAAGCTACCCTGGACTTGGCGGGTTGGATGAAGCCACAGGCTAGATTGGCATCGATGTACTTTCTCAGTTCCTCCATTTCCTTGGGAGTCATGGAGTACATCTTTGGTATGAGCCCCATTTGTCTACCCAGGCAAGCTCCAGAATGATTGACTTTATGGGGCTCTGACGAACCAAATGAGTTCTCGGTGATGGCCCCAGTGGTGGGTTGCCCCGGTTCGCACCAGTTCTGTAGAACTGGTAGTAAAACCGGCGGGAAGTTCCCCCCACCAACCCCAACGTCATCAAAACGCTTCTGCGCATGCTCAGAAAAGTGTGCACACATATTGTGGCCTGCCAGCAGCCTGCACGGATCATGGCTGATCCCGACAACGAGGAGGCTGGTGTGGGGTCATGCCAGCAGCCTGTGCAGCCGGCGCTCGCGTCAGACAGCGAGGAGGCTGAAGAGGATGTGGTGCCAGAGGCAGAGACTCAGCCAGGGCCTTCAGAACCTCCAGAGGCTCCTTCAAGTGGAGAGAGCGAAATGGAGGAGCCTCTCCTCAATGCTCGAGCACACAGGGCTGCCAAAAGGCAGGAGTGGCTACTCAGGAGGAAGAGGCCTCCTTGAGAGTAAGGTTTGAGGATAATAGGCCACTCCCTTAGCCTATTTAAGTCTCACGCAGTTAGTAATTTCTTGCTGAACAACGTGTAATTATTACAGAGCATTTTGGAGAGTGAGTGTCTTATTGTATCTTGTTTTCTGGGCTGGTTGCCAATCTTTGCTGGACTTTGTTTATTCTTGGTACATTATAACTTTGATAAGGACCGTTGGAGTGTGTCACAATCCTTGGGAATCCGGAGCTGGGGCAGAACAACGTGGTCCCACTGCGAACCAGTAATAAAGGTAAGTAGAACCCACCCATGGATAGCCCATCTCTAGTTTGACCAGGTCCGTGACTATTGTGGCAGGGGCTCCGCCAATTAGTGTCCCATCGACCTGCTCAAAGAAGATGTGCCGTGCTAGGGGCCTTGTATGTATGCCTAGCTTCCAGACCTGACAACTATACTACCAGGAATACTTTTTTAGACATATTTCGAAACCTGAACTACATATTAGTTTTAAAAACTACCAATTCAATTGGTTTAAATGTTAATAATTTAATTGTACAACATGCTATAAACATGTAAATGTACAGATTGATTACATTTTAAAAAAAATAAAAAATAAAAAAAATAAAAAGTAATGCTTGTCTACAAAAAAAATTGAAAATGCTTAGAATTGAAAATGATTCTTATGGTAACAGGTATGGGGAATAGCATAACAATAGCATTTTAGGCTTTATATTCCCCCTTCCCAATAACGTTTTACAGCATTCTCTGGGTGGTTTACAATGTAAGCATTACTTGCATATCGCCCTCAACAATCTGGTCCTCATTTTACCAACCTCAAAGGGATGGAAAGCTCAGTCAACCTTGAGCCCCATCAGGATTGAGCTCCAGGCTGTAGGCAGAATCTGCCTGCAATACTACACTTTAACCACTGCACCACAAGGGCTCTTGAATCCTTGAATGTTTCTGATGACAGCCCTAAAATAGACTAAACATGAGCAACCTTTTGGTGGCCAAAGACAACACTAATCTCTCTGAAAGACAGGCGTTGCACTGGAAACAACAATGATGCAAAGAAGATAAGGGCAGCAAAATTTGCAATGGGGTGGGGATGATATTTTTCTTTTTTTATGGCTTATGCAGGATTTTAGCAGTATCCTTCCTTTGCTGCAAATCTGTGTCAAATCTATGCAGTTGTCAGTTTTATTATGAAATATCTGCTCCAAATAATTTTTTTTTTTTTAAATTTGATTTATATGCCGCCCTTCTCCGGAGACTCAGGGCGGCTTACAATGCGTTAAACAATAGCCTTCATACTTTTGTATATTTATACAAAGTCAGCTTATTGCCGCCACAAACTGGGTCCTCAAATAATGTGAAATCATGTCTTTTTTTTTTTTTTTGCACAAGACTATATAAAACTGCAGTTAGCATACTGTAACAACCATGGGAAAAGGTTCAAGATTTGCATTTGGACCCCAAACAGCTATCAGAGGTAGCACATTAAACATGTAAAAAAAATCTACCTGACAGCAAAGGATGGGTCTATTTTTTAAATCAATAACCTGGAAATACTTTCCATTGACATCACTACTCTGTTTGCAGTATTTTAGTATGTGAAAGAACAACTTTTCTCACTCCATCAGAAAAACTTCATGTCATAGATTGGTTGGAGAAAATTAAGATAAAATCTATATCCAAAAATACGAAGTGGACAAGCAGCTAAACAGAATGCTAATCTCAACTATTATTCCAAATAAGACATAAGAATCCATTTTCCATTTGTCTGTTTTTATAAAATCGACAAGGCAGAGCAAAATGAAACAAGAAGAAATAATTTAATGTCTAAAGGAAATGCTATAATTGATTTTTTTTTCTTTAATATTCATTGGAGAGGGGACAGATTAATGAGAAAAATAAAGATGCTATTTCTGGCCTATGATCTACAAGGAATATACACACGCAGAAAAGGTTGGCTTTTATTTACTTAAATCTTCTAACTCTGAATTTCTCCACTAACATGATTTTAAACATTTAAAGCCTGTTTACAGGGAGACTCTGAAAGTAGCTTCAAACCATTATATCCCTAATTGAATTCCCCAGGAGCCTGGTAAACTCAAAGGAATAAAGAAAGAAATCATACCACTTGCTAAATCATCTCTAAGCATTTCTCACTGTGAAGTTCCCTGACCTGTTACAAGCTTGAACTGATGATTGCAACTGAACTGCTGAACCTCTGTTATTTAGATGAAAATCGTATAAAATGCTGCCCAGTTGCAATAAACAAATTAAATCATACCTGCCTTCACTTTTTATCTCTAATTATAAAGAAGGCTTGCACAAAAGAGTAAAATGTGTACACGCTGATGAGAAAGGGCTGAAGAAAAGGGACAGATATATGTAATTTTCCTATAAGAAGCGGGTTACTCTTAACATGCAAATTGGCATGGAAATGGCTCAATAAATTCAAAAGAAAATAGATTGTGGTATACAGAAATAAAAGAAATATGGTTGTGCACAGTCAATTATCTCATGTCTCTAGTTAAAAGAGTTCTGGCCTTGAAAAAACTGCACGTTCCACACCTCCATGATATCCTTTTGTGTATATAAACACAACACAAGGGAAGTCAATCATAGAATCATATCTTATATCCCCTCATCTACATCATTTTTATTTTAACTTGTTAAATGTAATTTATTTATTTATTTATTCATTCATTCATTCATTTATGTATATTTTCTAACCACACATCTCCCTCAGAGATAGTCTCTGGGCAATATGCAACATTTTATTGATTACAGAGAGCTGAGGTGGCGCAGTGGTTAGAGTGCAGTACTGCAGCTACTTCAGCTGACTGCTAGTTTAGCAGATCAGTGGATCAAATCTCACCGGCTCAAGGTTGACTCAGCCTTCCATCCTTCCCAGGTGGGTAAAATTCGGACCCAGATTGTTGGGGGCAATATGCTATTTATATACTGTCTTTGGTGTAAGCCGCCCAGAGTCCTCGGAGAGTGGGCGGCATAGAAATATGAATAATAAAATAAATAAATAAATAATAAACATTAAAATCAGAATTAATTTAAGATTTAAAATTATAAAAATAACATCATAAAATTTCAAAAGGTGAAAAATTCCAAGATGGGGAGATTAGCAGTTGCTAATACAGGTGGAGGCCTTCTCATGGGGCCAGCCGTACCTACAGTTGTGTAGGCCTCTGTGTCCCCCATGCAACACTGTACAGCCAAATTTTGACCGCTCTGCACAAGGCCATATAAACAGCTGTATATTCTCAGCAACTTACCGGGTTTATAAGTTATTCCTGGGGGGAAAAGAAATCCCTGCTGGGCTGCTGCAGCCGCTGCCAATGTCCGCTGGTCGTGTGGAAAAATTGGGATCATGAGAGGAGGCATATGACCTTGAACCTGCTAAACAGAAGACAATATCTGATCAGAAATTGCACCAATCTTTCTTAACAAATCTCTCATTATCAACAATTGTTGACTAAGTCCCACTGAACCTTTTCGTTATCATAATTTCAGAAGAGAAATGCCATTAGAACCCATGGGATCCAATGTGCTATATTCACCATCCTTTCGGTTCCTTGCTTTGGAAAATACCCATAATTTAAAATTAAAACAACTTGTCCTTCAATTTTGAAAAGGTATTATTTGTCATATGTACCTCATTGTAACATATAAGCCATTTTGTGAATGTAATCATTACCATAGTATCTGATAATAACAGAGTATTTTCTAATATGTTCCACTATTTTAAATTTCATTTGACTTTCATTGACAGAATGAAAAGCAACAATTAAACATTCAAGTAAAAAAAAAAAACCTGAGAAAAGTGTTTTATTTTCAGTTTGTTAGACCAGGCATTTGACAATGAGCTAGCAAAAGTAGATGCAAATATTCCTTTGAAAAGTTCAGTTTTAGTTCCTGAAATCTTTAATTCATGGTTTATCACAAAAGAACTAGAATTATTCCAGTTGAATATTTAAGTGGGGGGAGTATTGTGAAAAATGGGAAATCATATTCATAAATAATATAATGATTTTAATTAAAATTACCAGTAACCTCAATCCAAAAGGATCCTTATGGATCAAAATAGGAAGTATAAAAATTACTTTGTAACCAGAAAAGGGTTCATACCTTGCCTTGTTCCAAATGAATGGCAACAAACTCCATTAAAAAGTCAAAATGAACTTCAAGCATTTTTTTTTAATTCCAAAAAATAAAATAGCCCTGGTAAAAAATCCATATGCTGACCTATGACACTGTTTAAATACTGTCAGATTTTCTTGTCATATCCATGTTCCTCTCCCACTCCCTGATGCAGACCAGAAAGGCTACTGTGTGTATACTTCTAAGAGAGTTAATTTACCAACAACTCTTCTCTGGGGAAAAACCCTAAGATGTAGGTTAATAAAGGTCAAGAAAAAAATATAAACACTTTACAGTATTTTTCAGAATCCATTTCTCAGGAAAATCAACTTATAATAAAAAAAAGTCTTTGTGCAATTACTGCCATAGCAATGGGGCGTGAAAGAAAGTAGCTTTGAGCAGCCATTTCTTTTATTTTAGCTGAGGTAAGCCTGCTTCTGCAGCAGCACGTGTAATACGGTTAAATTGAAGTTGATCCTCCAGTGTCCAGTACCAACATTCAATAATAAGACTAGCTTTATTCATTCGTCCTGGGTTCCTGAATAACTAAGAATCAAATATGATTTTAGTGTTCAATTGTACTAGGAAAACTATAGCTTCTTGTAAGAATGGGATACAGTACTTTTTATAATCACCCTGAGTACTTTCAGCATGGTACTAAATCAGTTGGATGTAGCCTACTTTTGCAACACAAGGTAACTAGATAACATCAAATAAAATATCCATAGAGTTTTTTCTTGAGTCACAGGAAACAAACAAAAGAACCACAAATTTGAGAAGGATGAAAAAGTAGACACCCAAATGCATTGTACATTTTTGAAAGTTACTGAGAAATAAAAGCATGAATCTACTATTCAAATTCATCCTCTCAGAGAGTGTGCCAAGGCACCTACTTAAAAATTAAGATGAGATTATGGGTTGGCGTTTAGCTTTGGAGTATGCCAATTTACCATTAATAAAATCTGGAAAATAAAATAGAGCAAAAAGCAGAGCAGAAGTATCCTTGGGCCATTATGCTACTTATTCCTGCTCTGCATTCCAAAACTATGATACCATAATCCTTGGGGCAACAGGAATTAGTTCTCCTCTCTTGCCAATGTGATACATCATCTGGTGGTCAAGTTTACTAAAAATTTTACTGCATGCTTTCTCTCACAATGTGGGAGAAAGAAGCCCTAAAATAAGAGGGAGGCAAGAAGGAGAAGCAACAAGAACAACAAAGTTAATACGAGACAACACAACACAGTTTATTGAAAAATGTCATCTTTCAAAACAGAATCCTTTCAATAAGGAGAGCTTACATAAAATGATACACATTTGTATGGAACGAATCAAGGTAAAATGAACACAGTAAATGACAGAGATGGCTAGGTAATAGGGACCAAAGACCTCTTGCCCAATCAAAACGCTCAGAGATGCCAAGTCAAGAATCAAAGGAACCTCCCTCAGTTTCAAAACAAACACACTTGCAGGGATGGAGATCCAAACCAGGAATAATGGCAGTCTTTCTGGAGAGACTTCAAGCAAGCTTTGTAGAGGTAGTAAAACCTGATCCAAGAAATCATACCGTACACATTCCTAGGATATTTAATTGCTTCTCTGTTCATTGAATGTTTCTGAAAATCAATGTACCAGCAGATGCCAAAGTGTCTCTTTCCTTGTCAAAAGCCATACATTTTTGCACCAACACCTTTTTCTTTTTGTCTCCTCTGCTAACTTGATGCTGTTGCCTTTTTATTTTTGCCATCTGCCCTGGAGCTTCATTAAAGATACATGAATGGACTAACTGGCCTGATATCTTGTGAGGAACAGGTGCTATTGTTTGTCCCTGAAGACTTGCACTAAAGATCTGACTCTGAATACTTAAGAAAGAGCATCTGCAGCAGTCAGTCAGAGAGCAACTTGGCAAAGACCTTGCAGTGTGCTAATGTACAAACACAGTGACACTCAAGGGGGCTCATTTCTTCTTTCATGAAGATTTAACTATTTTTTTTTACTTATAAGATTAGAAATATGTACCAAAAACTTCACAATAATCTTTAAAGCCTGTCAGTGAATACCAGGAGCAAAACTATGAAAGCCAAATTTATTTTGCGTGAAATATAGATCTAAATAAAGGCAGCTGTTGAAGACTTTGTGGATTTACACTGAAAATACAAATGAAATAATCACAGGTTTTTCATGTTTGAAAAACCTGTGTTTTTCAAACACAGGTTTTTGAAAATCATGTTTTCATGATTTTATTCCTAATTAATGATTTAGTTCTAAAGTTATGAGTTATGATTAGATGTCTATTTTAATTCTTTTTCTCTCTCCCTATATACTTACTATCTACCTATCAATCTAATTTAATATAAAACAGTTGTTGTATGAAAAAAGATGAGTAAGATCATCATCCTATTGAGAATTTAGGTATGAACAGCATTTGTGATGTAAAGATTCATTAAGCAGACCAATGCTTTGAAACTGATTAATATGGACAATATTCATATATATATATATATATATATATATATATATATATATATATATATATATATATATATATATATATCAGTAATAGATAATCATTTGATATGTATGTAGTATATAGTATACACACAGACACACCGAGAGAGAAACAGAAACAAAGAGAGAGAGTATATAAGAATAGTATTAGTTTTCCCTCTTCTGAACTTTGAATAGGATTTCAATTCAGTGAAGAGGAGACTTGAAATAGATTTACTATTGCAGTTGTCACACAGCTTTATTTTTTTCTCTTTACTGACTGCCCTACTACAAATTTATTTTGGCCACTACTGTAGTTTGCAATGAGTATATCATATCATCATTAGGAACTGGGAAAATTTTCCACTTAACTATTAGCATTCAGGCAGTGCTAAAATGCAGGAGGGAAGAGGAAGACAGAAAAAACAGAATGGTTTCAATTCTTATTAGACTAGACAAACTGTAGCCTGTTTACCATATTTGCTTTCAAATAAACAGGAACCCTTTCCGTGTTATTGCCTTGTCATGTTAGAGTGGTTTGCACTGCTGGCAGAAGCAGCATGCTGGTATTACAAAGCAGAGAAACAGGATTTGTATAGATAATTTTATCTTCCTCAAAGGCCGGTTGTCCACCTGGCAAAACATGAATGATATCTATCCCACTTCAATGATCTAATTTCATAATTAATTTCATATTCATGACATGGTAAGACACTTTGAGATTCAAGTACCTAATAAGTTACTAACATGTACCTAACAGTCTAGTCTAGTGGTTAAGGTATTAGGTTATAAATTCGAAAACCATGAGTTCTAGCCCTGCCTTAGGTACAAAGCCTAAGGGTGACCTTGATCAGTCATTCTCTCTCGGTTTCAGGAGGGAGGCAATGATAAGCTACTTCTGAAAATCCTTGCCAAGAAAACTGGGACTTGATATGATTGAATGGAAAAAAAAGTTATATAGTATATAATATATAAATATTTAGTATATTTTAGTGTTTTGTATAAACACTTTAGACACACATATATTTTTAGCTTGATGTCTTAATCACTACATCAAAATGCTTCAATTTTACATATATATGTGTGTGTGTGATTGTATATGTGTGTGCGTGTATGGGTATGGGGTGAAATGCTCCTGGTTCGGACCGGATTGCCCGATCCAGTAGTGATGGCGGCGGGTGGTTTGGAGAACCGGTAGCAAACATCCATGCCCCCCCCCCCACAATGCCCAGCTGAGCTGCACGATCATCAGAGGCTTTTTTTTTTTTTAACTTTTAAAAGCATTTTTTCTACAACCTCTTCGGCTGAAAAAATGCTTTTAAAAGTAAAAGTAAAAAAAAAAAAGTTGGCCATGCCCACCCAGTCACATTACCCCCACTACCAAGCCACGCCCACAGAACAGGTAATAATAAATTTTACATTTCACCACTCACTAGTTTCTGGGCTTTTTTTTTTTCTTTCTTTCTGGCAGCCAGCAGACCCTTTGCTGCCCATTGGGATATAGTAATATATAGTACAGTATATAGTACTGTATATAGTACTGTACTATAGTTACTGTATAGTTACTGTATATAGTAATATATGTACAGTATATAATCTTATTTAATATCCTATATAACATTTTAAGTTCTATATTCTATTATATTCTCTGTATGCTCCCTTGTAGAAAGGTTTATTAAGAATTTTTCTAAGTTTATTTCAGCACTTAATATGAATAATTATGTGAGTACTTTGTTTAGAAATTATGTATTGGCAGTATTCAATAAAAGAAA